TCTATCATTATTCTTGTAGGACAGTTATTAACAGAGGAGGTGATAAAAATAAGTGATGGATTTTTGATGTTAACGTTACCGGAGGCATCACCATCCGATGCTTCCGCTACTGAAAATGCTGGGAGTCGCGTGGGTGGACAACCCACACGAGGATTGCAATTATTCCATCGGCGATTTCGATTTGATGATGGTTGCTGATGGTATTGGTAATTTTGTGAATTAGGTGAAACATTATTGGAATTTTTCCGAGTTGAAGACTCATCTGTGTTTGATTGTTGTCGAGTAGAAGGTGAAACTACCTGTTGAAAGGGAAGAACTGAGTCAGTGATTGGTATATTAGTGGTAGCAGCTTCTAATTGTGAACGGGGCTGCTGTTGTTGAGTATATTGTTGCTTTTGATGGTTATTATTTCTGAGTGGTGGAGCTACATAAGGAGCAGAAGAAAAAAGTACATGTTAACTAAAAACGAAATATATGAAATAACAAAAGAGAGAGAGAAACCATTATATTACATCATATATAACAACTTATGGACTAGCACATGGTCTAACTGCTAGGACATAACAATAATTTACATTTTGTTTATTTTATCTCATGTCGAATGTATTTTCTCGTCTCTGTGCCAAATGTGTTCGATCTTAATTGATATAGTAGTTTTTGTTCTTATCTGTTCAGAGTCATTATTATTTTCGGTTTGTCTAAAGTTGGATTGATAGCAAGATAAGATTTCATTTTTGCAGTTGATCTGAACTCATTTTTCCATAATTCCTTTATGTGATCGGATATCAAATTTGATACTTCATCAAGTGTATATGAACATACTGCTTTGCTTGAAGTTGCTATTGTGCTATTAGTGACAATCGATCGTGCTGATTCATCTGCTATGGCATTTCCTACGCTTCCACAATGCTCGGGAAGCCAGTGAATATTAACTACGATTTGCTGTTGTTGTAGCTCATGGATTAGTTGTTTAATCCGTGAAATAGTATTATTATTAGTTCGAGATGATCGAATGCTTCTTATCGCTCCTTGATTGTCGCAGAATATTGTAATGTTATTATTAGATGATAACGAGTTTTTCTCACATTCCACAGCCATCAACAGAGCTCGGATTTCCGTAAAATATGACGAGTGATATTTTCCCATAATTGCGCACGAATTACATTTAGCTTTGGAATATAAAATGCAGCTGCACTGTTGATCAAAGTCTGGGTTCGTAATAGTCCTATATTTCCTATATTTATGAAAGTGGTCCTATATTTCCTATATTTGAGGGGGAAATGTTGAAATGAGCTGTATTTGATTGTGAAAAGACACATGTGCTTTCTTACACACATTGTCACTCGTTTCCGCAAGGAACACGTAACCCATTGTACGTATTATTTCTTGACTGTTGTATTTGTATGACTAAAGGGCTCTTGTTGGAAGAGAATGATGAGTATAAAACCGCTACAAAGTACCTGATAAGAGATTTTAACTAAATCTTTCACACATTATCATCGGGAAAACAAACATAGGAAGAAAAGATAACTAATTATGTAGTCTGTAAATGTGAGTATAAGACAAAGAAATTAAAGAAACAATTTTGCCAGTACGAACAACGTGCCAGTAAGAGAATCTATTGAGATTGCACTAGATATATTATACAAAGCAAAGAAAATAGCTGATATATACCCTTTAGTCGACAACAAATGAAAAGACTAGTAGAATTGGCCGTTTGCGATGTACCATTTAAATTTATAAGTAATTACGTGCAATCTGATAGAATAGCAATGGGTTCACCACTTGTACCAATACTTGCAGACCTATTTATGTCTAAACTCGAAACTAAGTTAAACAGATTTTCTACCTACCAATAAACCATTACTATGGCTTCGATACATGGATGATATATTTCGCATATTCACAACAAAACAGAATATTAACCATTTCTCTTCCTTTGTGTGTTTTTTGTGTGAAGTAAACTTCATTGTATCGACATTTTAATCGATTTGAACACATATTCATATTCAGTTCAGTCGATGACCTGCTCAAAGATAGTACTCAATGGTACTATGGTGTTTTTTCACCATATTAAACGACGTTGGTTTAGTGGAAAGAGACGTCCTATATTGTCCTATATTATCAGAAAAGTGCTATATAAATTCTTTTTTCAAATCCTATATTTTCAGGAAGGGCCGGTACGAACCCAGATTCCTCCGTGCGAAGCCAGCGTTATCCAAGAAAAAACACATGTTTCTTCAGCACATACGGTTTACTTTCATCCAAATGCAGATTTTCTCGAATTTAAATCGGTCTCAATAGTTAATGCAACATTAAACGTTCAAAATTATAAGATATTCATCAAAATTTATGATAATAGTGATCGCACACGAACATTATATAAAAATGTCGTTCTAGGACACTCACACTCCGGGCGACGTCGAAACGTTTCCCATACAGCAACAAACTTCTTCTTTAAATACCATTTCAACAGCAACATCAATGTCGTTTACCTCCTTAACTATCTGTCAATTAGTCGCTCACATTAAGGACGCCATGATATCCTCAACATATTAACATCACATGCAGCGGTTTTCGACTTATCAAAAATTACACAAGCAAACACCACGGTATAACATACAACTAACACCGGCGATGCTGTTCCGATTAGTTCACGTCCCTATCCAAAAATCATACAACAACGCCGAGAATTACAAACAGAAATAGAAAAAATGATTGCTAATAACCAAATTCGACCTTTGAATTCACCATGGTCATCTCCCATTATTCTCCATAAGAAAAAGGACGGTGGCATACGGTTCCTAGTCGATTACAGAAAGTTAACTTCTGTTACGAAAAAAGATTCACATGCACAACCAACTACTGAAGAACCATTAGAACGATTGAGAGGCTACGAAATTAGATTTAAAATCTGAATATTTTCAAATATCCATACATGAACAAGACAAGGAAAAAACAGCATTCATCGCACAAGATGGACTATGGGAATTTAATGTCTTACCGCAAGGTGTTATGAACGGCCCACCAACGTGTCAACGACTCATGCATAATTTAATTGAAAATGGACGCTGGGATTACGTAGTTGTTTGTCTGGATGATATTCTCATATTCTGACTTCATGTTAAATTCGTACTCGTAACGAGATGAAACAATGCTTATGCGCATCATCAGTTGAAACCCTATATTTTATGTTTTAACAGGACTAAAACAGCTAAATACTCTCGCTTCCAGACTATTTTACAGTTCTCATGACATTTTAAAAGTATGATCTAAAATGGATGTTGAACTATAACATCTAATACTACTTTACATAAACTCAACATGGATAAGAGCAACAATGAAAACTACTCTGTTAATAGTGAAAATACTTCACATTTATCATTAGTTTCAACTCCACCAAATACATCATCACCAAATTCATTCACAACGAAGTCCACGACGAAGTGTTCGTTTAGCATCAAAATCACTCAGAATGCCATTAAGAACATCTAATGAATCAAATATTCATCGAACAAGATCTGGTGGTGTAAGCAACAGTCATTCACCAAAATTGATTAGTAAAAGACGAGGTTCAACTAGTGGTGGACGTGGTGATCATTCCCAAGTCCAGTCTCAAGTTACTCTTAATATTGATAATAATATTCATCATGGAAATAATTATACAACCAATTTTCGTACAAATCTTCCATCTGATCAATCGGACGATGAAATAACATCCAACAATAACACATGTACTAAACCTAAACGTGCACCATTAGCAAGTCGATCAGAAGTTTTATCCTATTTTGGACAAGAATCTGGTGGTTTCAAATGCAAAATTTGTCAAAAAGTAAGTCGGCAAGGACATCCTTGTAAACATAGAGAATTTATAAATATATAAAGGGTGTTCTAGAAGTTCTGAAGTAATTTTAAAATAAATCATTCTAAAATTACTTCAGAACTTCTAGAACACCCTTTATGTATAAGTACCGAGGAAAGTAAGAGTGATCGAACTTTAAAATAATACAGTTATAGAATAGCCTAAACTTGGATTCGACACGTTTTGTGAGGAAAAGAGTTTCATATCTGTGCAGTCGTGAAATTCATGTTTTGACTTGATCCTAAATGGAACTAAGGGCAACTTTTTCCTTTGAAAACTCTTTTCAAACTAATAAAAACTAGTGAAGACGAGTCGATCTAATTATTTTAACTGATCCAGAGAAGCCACAACTCTCCCTTACATATCTAATCACCATCACCTTGAATGAAAATATTATTTATATTGACATTTGTTAATAAGTTTATCGAGCAAGTAAACTTAGTGGCAGCAATCTTCGAAAACATCTTGCTTCATCAACACATAAAATACCAAATGTTTTGTTTAAATCTCAAATCGAGAAAGTTTCACAAGTTATTCCACCAACAATCTCTACTGAACGTAAATGTGATTTACATACGGCCGCAATTAACTGTATTATTCAGGATGGACTTTCATTCGATACATTTCAACGTCCTGGTATGTCAAAATTTTTATCCACAGCTATTCCAGGCCACAAGGGGCCTCATCGAAAAACAGTACGTAATCGAATAGCTGCTTTATATTCAGCATATACTGAAAAACTTCGTTCACTTATTCCTAAACTGGACTTGATTGCTCTTACATCAGATTTATGGAAAAGTCCATGACGTATTCATGTTATTAGTCTTACAGCACATGTTTTTAACAAAAATTATGAAAGTATACCAATTGTACTTGGCTTTCGTCGAATAACTGGTCCTCATACAGCAGGATGAATTGAACGCTATATAAAGTATGAACTCAATCGGCTTAATATCAAAAAAGAACAAATAATTAGTATAACGACCGATAATGGTAGTAACATGAAGAAGGCAACGTCATCACTCAAGTTTGGTGATCCAATTAGCTGTATGGCACATAATCTTAATACGGTCATCAAAAAAGGTCTTTATCTTTGGATTGAACCAAAACCAGATGAGTAAGTATGATTTGAAAAGTAAATTTAAAGTAAAATTTTTAAAAGTATTTCATAACTTCTTATCAATTACTATAGTTTGAAAAGAACTCCGAGTCAATAGACCGCAAAACTAATAAGTCCTGCCATTATTTGTTGATAATTTAATAATATGTCTTACTGGCTACTCTAAAATCTCTTTTTATATCGTACATTATTTCACAGAGTATTTATCAACATAGGACGCTCTTTTAAATACTCAGTCTAACCATCACTGTACTCATGTCTATAACTGTTAATATCTTTTTTACTCACCTAATACTTAAGAGAGTATATAGCTAGGTAATAAAAAGATTTTGATAGAAGTCTTGTGCCATTAGAGAGTCTACTGAGACTAAGCGAAATTTATAATGAATCATTTCCTTATAGTTTGTTCTTAAGCTATGACTATCTACGTCATAACAGATTTCTATATTTCTAATGTTTATTTAAAGATATGGTATGGACAATTTTTTGTTGCACATGACGAGCCAGAGGATAGTCAGTAGCCATAAAGAGATATCATTTGAATAGATTTCTGCTTATGGTTTCCGTCAAGACTCACAAATTTAGAATGAGTAGTTTTATCTTTTTCTATTGACTAAAAAAGACTTCTACCGTAAAAAACAGAAATCAACAAGTATGATTTGTGTGAAATTGTATATGATTTTTAACTTACCATGACCTTCTAAACCGCATTTAAATGTTTATATAATTTACCGGAATAATATCATGACTTTTTTTCTATTTTAGCATTTTATTTCCATCAGCATTTAATTTGGACGAATGGGAAGATATTGATGATGCTGATATTGATAATCTAAGTGAAGTTGATGAAGATTCAGATAATGCAGCTTCAGATTTAATTAGCGAAGAAGAAAAAGAAAATGAAAAAGAAGAAAATGCTAGTTCAATCAGTGAAGATGATACTGATGTTAATGTTATTGTTTACAATGAATCAGATAGTGATTGTGATATCGATCGTGAATTTTCTTCACTTAAATTAAATGAGTATAATTCACCATTAATAGATCATTTTAAATTACTAACTGATGTATTTCAATTAATGAAAAAAATTCGAATTGTAATTAAATTTATTTGTAATCATAATGCTACTAATAAATACATTAATAAATATATGATGTCCGTAGATCCTAATGATAAAACTGGCGGTTTTGTTTTGGATATGGCAATTCGTTGGAACAGCTCGTTTTTATTACTTGAACGAGTAGTAAAGTATAAAGATGCTCTTGATAATATGTTTGCTTTTCCAAATAATATAATCGGATTAATAGAAAAACAAAAAAAACGACTTAAAGAATTACCTCTTAATCAAGATGAATGGGATTTATTAACTATTATTAAAAACATTTTGAAACCATTTTTGAGTTCAACAATAGTACTTTGTGTTCAATCACATCCTACTTTGGCAGCATCTTATTATGTCTATCATGATTTATCATTTTTTTTACGACTAACAGCTGATGATGGCCCGATTACTACTGCATTGAAACAAAGTCTTCGATTTTGGTTCAACATTCATTGAAAAGATAAATTACCTTCAAATGGAAAGATGCAGGTAATAAATTTTTTCTAGCTTATTTATTCATTAGAGTATCTGTCAATGTCATGACTTAAAAAAGAGAATGCTCTAAGTCTAAAGAGAGAGCCGCATGCAAATCTTGTTTGTCAAAGAATTTTAAGAGGTTATCGAAAATTAAGTTATAGAAAAAAAATTAATATACGAATTCCTAAATGAGATCTACCTAAAAATATAAAGTTTTAATATTTTTATATATTATAAATTGGTAGGAATAAATCGTGAAAATATAGCTAATAAAGAAAACAATATACCTATTGTGTTCTAAAGAAAATTGAATATTATCTACCTATTTATTAACTTCTTTAATTTAAGTAGAGTATACATCTGTAGCGTTTGTTTTAGTTGTTATTAAGATAGTCCACCACTATCGAACCTTTTTTTCCAGAAGAGTATTCTTTCTAACACTACAGCTTACTTCTTGAAAACAATGTAGAAATACTCAATATATTAATATTGTATATATGATCCGCCGATAAAATGTAGATTTACTCAACAATGTTTAAATTTCGTTTATCATTTAGGTCTTTGCCATTATTAAGATAAATCAATTAATTCATAGGTTAGCTGAATTTCTTTCGTACATGTGAGAAGAACCAGTTAGTTTAATTGGTAAGACCGTTAATTTCACCATAAATAACGAAGATCGACTTTTATAGTCTCTGATGGTTTAACCCTTCATAAATAGTGGTTTAACATGGTCAGAAACTTAGCGAAACCCTTCAAAGATATCGGAGCATTGACCATAATATTTACATACTTTTTTTCTTACTAGTAACCATTTCGACAGAGCACGAAACCATGGCAGAGCGCTTAATTTCATGACCTAAATGGTGTTAGGTTGTTCAAATATAGATGATACAGATTGTTTCATACATAAGTTAATGTAAGAAATATTTCTTTCGATTAAAATAAATTTCTACGGTCTAATTTCTAAACTTCTATATAATGTTCCGATAAATATTCCACAATGACTTTCATTATTATTTTATCGCAGGTTTGTAAGACTTAAACCTTAATTTCAGGTAGCTGCCTTCTTAGATCCTGCTGTATATAATGAACTTGATAATACTGATCGTATGTGTGCCAAAAAACTTATTTTCCGAAAATTGGCCAATGCATCAATTCATCATAATACTTTATCATCATCATCAACACCACAAACAACAACAACCAAATCAAATGCATTTCAAAAATTAGCAGTTGCTTGTGTTCGTGTATTACCTTCTTCAATATCAGCTACAAAAACAATGACACTAGATGAGGAAATAAGTAATTACATTAAGCTAGCAAAATCCGTCGATAATTTTCAAGAATTCTGGGTAGTAAATGCTAAGCAATTACCACGATTAGCAAATCTTGTTCGAAGAGTAAACGTAATTCCAGCTACTGAAGCTTTCTTTAGTATAGCTAATTTCATTCAAAGAAAGCAACGCTCCTCTCTTTCATTACAAACACTTCGATATTTACTTGTTTTAAGAAAACGAACATTTAATTGATAAACTTGAGCAGGATTATTCGTAAATTTCTAAACTGTTCCATTTTACTTGTGACTTTCAAGAGAGGATTTCCTACACTACCAGTAAATTCGTTTTCACTAATTCTGTTTTTGAATTTCTTCGCCCAATTCAGAAAATTATCGAAAGAAATTTAAAAATCTAAACTATTAAGTCGTTCTGATCTATTGCTGTCAGAATAACGATGATCAGGTTGCCCGAACTTTTAGAAACACATAAGAAAAATTTTTGTTTTTAATAATTTGTATAAATATTCATTAAAGATCATAACTAGTGAATAATGATAATTTTCAATAGTCATTCTAATGAATGACTGGTCACTTCAGAGACACGACTAGGCTAGTCTTAAGTAAAAAACTAACTTTAGATCCATGAAGAGCATTAAAAACTAAGTATAAAAGTGTTATGTATTTGAATATAAGGGTTAGGGATGTGGCAATACCAACACGATATTGGTATTGGGGTATTGGTGTTGATATTGGAGTATGGTTATTGGAGTATTGGTACTGGTATTGATATGTTGGTGTTGATACTGGAGTATTGGTATTGGTATTGGTAATATCAGTATTGTTACATCCCTAACCTTTATATTCAAATACATAACACTTTTATACTTAGTTTTTAATGCTCTTCATGGATCTAAAGTTAGTTTTTTAC